GGTTCGGAACGACGGGATCCGACTGCGGCATCAACCGTACAAGTGAAATCGAGGGTGCTTCAGAACCCTGGGCTTCAAATTCAAGTGTGTAGCAAGTAGGCGCGTTACGGAACCGGGGCTGATGATTATCGTGCAGCTACTCGTGATATCGATATCGACGCTGACACCGGTGAGGCTAGAACTTGGCTGGACTTTGGGCAATACTTGCGGTGCCTTTGGCGATGCGCGCTGACTGTGGCCAACTCGGACTCTAGATCTATCTCGTGCGTTGGCCAACGACTCGGACTCACATGCTTTGGCCACGACTTGAACTCGCGGCCGTTTGAATTTGAGCTCACCCAAGAAAGCCCATCTCACGTGACTTTATGGGTAAAATACTGCATTGCGCTTTGGCCAGCGACTCGGACCCGCGTGCTTTGGCCACGACTCGACCTCACGCGCTGCGGTCATTTGAGTTTGAGCTCACCGGAGCCACCTCAGGCGACTTGAAATGATGGGTAACGCCTAACTGGCCTAACCGTCTGGGCCGATATCACCACTCATACCAAAGCCGGCCATCAATCCCGCCAAAGAGTGAAATCCCAATGACCACGACCCCATGACCACACCAAGCAAAAGCCAACCAATTCGTTTCGCACTCTGCATTTTTGACCATCTTTTGTTCAACAGTTTGCTAGATTCGTTGGGGTTCGAACGCTGGAGAATGTAGAGCCTATCGCCGCGCAGAGCATCTTCTGTTCTCCATCTTCAAGCTCCGGTGACTCAAGGATTCAAGATTCACCGAAATTCGAGGGTCGAAGATGGGAAGTGCGAGCCTCGAGGCGTCGGATCATCTTTCAGAGGTTGCATCAAGCGGTAAGCTTTCTAAATTCCAATTCGCCAGATCCCTACGCTCATCCCCCGGCTTCTTCTTTACAGTGACCCCTCTTGGAAATTCTCCGGATTGGCTCTTTCCTTTGGAATTCGAAACCCCCGGCTTTCTTCTTCATCACTCCCCGGCGTTTTGCTCTCCTCCTTCTCCTCTTTCGGAGAATTCCCGGCTTTTTGAGAGTGCTTCTCCCTTATTGGAAAATTTCCCGGTTCTGAAGTTTTGCGATGCACAAAATTAACCGTTTGCAGGTCGCACTGCGAGGTTGCGAAGTTGCGAAGGGTGTTTGAAGTGGAGTGTGCTCGCAAGAAAATTTGTGTAAGACTTGGATAATTGTTCTACCATCTTTCTTGGGGGTCGCTGGTTTTCTTCTCTCCTCTCCGGCGACTTGGCACATATTTTCAACATATTGTTGGTTCGCATCGCCTATTGGGGGGTCGAACCTGGTCGAACTGAGGAGAAACTTAGGAGAAATGGACTGCGCTTGTTGGCGTCACTCCAACTCCCGGATTCTCTTGGAAGCTTTCGCCTCGAGTCGGGAATTCGCTGGAATCTTATCGTCACCGCTTCGCTGGCAAACCTCAAAGGCTCAAATTTTGTCGAAATTATGATACGCTTGCGGCAACTTGAACATTGTGCACGTGGTCACCAGGTCTCTCTGCCGATATTTCGCTCTTCTTTGCAAATTCATCCAAGCTGGAAAGCGGTTTCGTTACTACGAGTTTATAGGCATCTTGTTTCTTGGCCGGCCTGAGGCTATACTTGGAAGTGAACGAATCTCCAACCAATGGGAGATGTCTGTGCCTCATTGTCGACCGAATATGTCAGCCCTCTTTCTATTTTCTTGTCTATCTCTCTGATAAATATCTTCCAGCCCTTTCATCACTCATTTCACGGGGATCGATGGACTCCGAGTCCCCAAAATAAAATTGGAAAATCGATGTACTTGTATGGTCTGATATTGTTCACTTCCCCTTTTATTATCTTCACCCCTCCGTCATCGTTCTACCGCTGCGCACGTTGACATGGCTCTTTTCTTCAGCTCGCCTCTTTTTGTAATTTTAGCGCTAAAGCATACAACGCGCCCCTGGTTTATGTAAAACAACTATCTGAAAGTTTTGGCAACAACCTCCGATTACTCTCAGCCTTCAAATTATGAACACATTGCTCCTCAGACGTCTTGAGAGCTCCACTTCAACCTTCAGCCCATTTTCCGACGGCCGAACACATTTCCAGGTGAAAGTACGTCATCCTGTGATCCTCTTAGTGAGTTCCTGAGCTCACATGGCTTGTGGATCGTGGCTTCAGCGTGAGCCAAGGTCCGGTTTTTAGAGACTTCCTCAAACATTCAAATTCGCAGATATCGTTGTTTGTCTCCGATGATTGATCATTAGATAGATAACACGGTATGAAGCGCGTTAACTCCCCCATCTGGTATGACGGTTCCACAGGCAAGGTAATTTGCCTGGCGTTACCCGCGCGTCCGCGGAAGGACCCGTTCACAAAACTTCCAAAGAAAGAAAATTTGCGTTCGAGGCCCAGCTCGAGCTTTCCACGCATATTCGCCTCAGCTAGACTACGCCCGGATTTTTGTCGGATTATTCAGAGAACTTGTACATAGAAGGCGCAGCAGCTTCCGAAAGGCGGTGCGTTGTTAACTTGCTTATCTACCTCGACGCCCAGCTGACTGCTACACCCTCGTCACGGATTACATAGGTTCCAAGTGGGTGGCTGTAAACGCTTTTCCACTGGCATGACGTGATCGCCGCTCTCCGACAATCAAGTGTCTTTCCTGAGCGTACAGTACCATCCTGATGTGCATACGAACGGCATATCGCGCACCCGCT